ATTCATGACCACTCAGCTACAGTGTTTTGATCATTCGTTATGGTCAAACTTGGTGCATATACAGCGGGGAACTAGTTTATTTCACGAAGCAGCGGATAGAACAGCGAAATGGTTAACGGACGGAAACGCATCCATCATACCAAAAACAGGTGCACGCGTTTATTGGTAGCTCGTCTACAAATATCATTTCCGATTACCAGTGTGTTATCGTAGAACAGTCCTTCTGAAGGATATTAATTTTTTTAAACCCCTACTGTCGAGTAAAATGGATATGTCGATTAGATATATCGTGCCTTGATGGTCGTGATTATAAATTGCTTATATTAAATACATATTGAAGAAGTAAGGTCTCGTACCAACATTCACAGCCGCGATGATGATAAGTTGCGCACGCCGCCACTGCGAACTCAGTTCTGCGTGCCAGAGGGGCAGTTTTTTTATAATACTGGAAAGTTCTGTCAACTGACATTTTAAGGGAAACCGAAGTAGTCTTGACTACATGACGATAGAAATATATCCAAAACATGTTTGTCCGCCCGTGTCGAAAAGATATTTTAGAATTAGCCCTAAAATCTAAAAATGATGACCCATCATTGAGTACAGGACAAAAGTGGGGTGACGCGCTTGATCGGGTTGTTTCTTCTAACCAATTTGTCGATCAAATACAGGCGGTGTAGTGCCACTTTTATACAGTTAACGTTTGAGGCTGTTTTTAAGGCTACTACGAAAAATTCAAGAAGTTTTGAAGCGAGTAAATCAGGGTCAGAAAATTGTGGTAATCTTCGTAAATATGTTGCTGATACCTACTGTGAAAGTTTGGTCGGAAACATCGGATATCAAATGAGCAACTTAGGCCGATGCAAGGTCTTCTAAGTACTTGCTCAAGTTCGTTGCTGACCCCATACAAGTAAAATTGCTTGAAGTAAATTTCCACCAATTACTTCTTCCATTTTTCTTTCTGTGGTCATACTCAACTTTTATAGAGTAGACGCATGCATTGCTACCAAGTTTGTTCAGCTCAGTGGACATATTTTAATTTATTTTCTCAATTTATACTGATTGGCATGGTAACATTTTTTAGTTTTGCTGTTTATCTCAAAGTTGCGACATTTAATTGTTGATTGGTTGATTCACAGAGTATTCTTGAAAAAATTATTTTTTATCCAAATTTGTATGACGTTAGAGCTAGTGTTCCGTCAGTACCGCCTAAGTAATCGTATAACATTGTCCCTTTACCATCACTAGCTGCACCAACCACAACATGTAATGGGATAAGATGTTCTTCTCTTGCATGGAATCTTTTCGCATAGGGTAATACTTTATCCCATTCTAATAAGGACTTTTCACGTTCTTCATATGAGAGTTGTGTTAAAAGGCTTGTTAATGTATCGACAAATTCCCGAGCTTTTTGTCTGTTTACATTGTTAAAACCATGCGTTGTCGACCCAGAGCCGATGATTAGTACGTTTTGCTGTCTTAACGGAGCTAATGCTTTACCTAAAAGAATGATTCAAAAGAGTTGTCACAGAATGGGAATCAGACGGTTTGTTAGTTCCATTTCTTTATAGCTTTTACTTAGTTTGGAAATTGGAATGTATTAAGCGATCGCACCATAGAACCTTATTGCAAATTATATAGGAGAACGAAGAGCTTCGGTGCAATAGTGCCTTACCAATGGCCAAATGCATCGAAGGTGATAAACCGACTAATAAGGAGATTTGGACAATTGGAATGTCAGCATCAGGATAAATTAGCTTCATGGGAACAAAAACCCCATGGTCAAAATTGCGTTCGGTATCAAGTCTACATGGAATACCAGCTGTAGTCAATAGAGATTGTATTTGTTTAGATAATTGAGGTGAGCCAGCCACATGATATTTTAGTTCATACGTATGAGCTGGAAAACCGCCATAATCATATAACAGGTCTGGATAATCAGCCCGTGACGTTATTCGTACGGCTTGATTTGATTCCCAATGGGCTGATATTAAAACAATTGCACTAGGTTTTGTTTCAGGTTTATCTAATCCTAATTGTTTACTTAATTGCCGATACCAATCTACAGTTTTAGTGTGTTTTGTAATATCTTTAAGCATGGGCATTTCATATTCTTCCATATGGAAAACCGGACCACCGCCCTAGATAAACAATGACAAAAGAATCACAATCAAAATATGTGATATGGACCTGATATTTACTTACATGAGACAAGTAAACGGTAGGCAGTTTTTTCGAGAGAGTAGCAAAAGTGGGATTGTATTCAGCATTTTGGATCGACTACAAAAAACTAAATATCTGTTAGATCAATCGGAGATTGGAACAAAAACTTACCATTTCCACAAAAAGTGTCGTCGTGATTGATCCGTTCCACCTATTAATAAAACAACCACTGTCGTTCAATAATTACCTTGTCTCGCAACTATAGCTTAGCTTGAGGCCAGGTTAAGATTTTAAGAAAATTGACAATTTAAAAACGCACAAAATACAAAGTTTGCCACAGCCTTCATATCACTTTTCGTTCAGTGCTTCGTCTGATTAATATAGTTCCTTGGAACTTTATGTTTGTTATAGTATGTAGATGTTCGCTTTCTGCAGACAAAACTTTATCCGAGCGATAGTTCGGGAGTTATATCGTAAATATAGCTTTTTTCCAGCATAGTTATTATTCTATTTATGAGCTGGTGATAGGCGCACTAACGATAATTAAACGATTCTCGATAGACAATGTGTATCATAGTATGTGAGTCATGATTAAGTGTATTGCATACGTCAAAGGACATTATTATAAAAACATTCCAGTACAGAGACACAAAATGTTTTATTAACTCGCTAATATCCTATCAGCTCATTTCTTCAACGTTTGCACTTTAGTTCAGTTTTGCATAGCATTCTATTTATTTCGCTCTGCTAATTGTTAAAAATATTGTTCCTCACTAATTACATTTGTTTGTGTAGAATACTAGCTAGTTCGTTCGAAAACTACTCGGAATCCTAACTTACCTACTTCGGTACCTTCTACAACGACACTCTAGCATTACAGCGAGACCGGGACGGCTCTACTTAGATCTTGTTTAGATCTAGTTCACACTATACTCTTTTTGCAAGTAGGTTAAATTAATCTAGATGATACGTTCATACTACCACATAACCCTGCAATAAGAAACGAGTCGAAAAAAGAATATGCAGCAGCCATGAGAAAATTATACTTATTTCCATGGTTATCGAAAAGCATTCGACTAGAATCAGCTAGGATAAAATGATGCGCATAGCGACCAGCTGAACTTAAATAAGGATATTTGAACTACTAAATAAGCATTGATATTTCTATCTAGTACGTTCTGAATTTCAAAGGTTTCTTCCAATCCAAATCTGTTAATCCTGACAGTTCACTATTTTTTTTAATTTGCGTTAAAAAGTTACGTTACTGTGTGCTGTGTTCATATTTTCTCTTTTTTACATTTTACATCAACGGAAAATAATAAAAATAAAATAATAAATGTAATATATAACAGAATGTACTTTGAATATAGCTAGCTATAGCGCGTGTCTTGTTTGCTCCTATGAAAGGAAAAAAAGAAAAATAAGCAGAACGAAGTATGAACAACTTGAAAAAATTCATGTTAAATAGAAAAACATTCAGAGACGTGTATTCGATAGAGGAATGTCGATTGTCTATGAATATAATATTTTCCCTATACTTGGTGCATTGGCAACTGTGAGCCAGGAGGTTCTCTAGAGTTACATAAATCCTTAGGGTTTTGACGAAAGAAAACGTTATTTCTTGATGGAACGTACAAGTGTCATATACCGTTCGAAAGAACTCGTCAATGACCTCGAATGGTGCATGACCTCTAATGTATTGCAGGACATGTCCAGGCTCGTTTTTTTAGCGTTTGAAACGTTTCATGGGGGGGGGGGGGGGGGGCGGGGGGGGGGGGGGGGNGGGCAAAAACCCCCAATTGGGCTTGCCCCCAAATTTTTTTCCCGCCATTGCCCGGGGCGTTTTTTTTCGGTTTTTAACCTTTTTTCCCCCCCCCCCCCCCCGCCCCCCTCACACAATGGCCCGAAAAAACGATGAATAGTGGTTCAGTAAGAAAATTATACGGTAATTCAACATTGTTCTATTTCAACACTTTTTTATTGCTTCCGTGTTAGTTTCTGCTCACAGATTCTCGGCAGAATGCGATCCGGTGGTAGAATTATAATTCATTATTATTGGTATTATTATTTTGCACCACTGTTAAATTTTATCAACTGAGCAATAACAAAGATCAAACGGCTAATCCGTGTGATAAAAAAAAGTAATCTAACTCATTCCAACTATCTAATATTTGATGTAGCCTTCCTTCGTGCAACTTCACACTGTGCACCTGGTGGAATGCTGCCTGGAATTTTTAGATTATTTCTGATATTGTGTAATAGAGGTTCGTGGCACACTATATATACAATACCAGATGACGGGCAACCGTGGCGCACTCTAGATTCGAAATTTATAGGTTGTGTTATCGCATCATTTATTTTGATTCGGAAAGTGGCACCGGTGTACATTAGTCTTATCCAATGAATGAAATTCTGTCCAAATCCAAAACTCCGTAATACCGCGAAGAGGTAACGGTGATTGACTCGGTCAAAAGCCTTTCTTTGATCCCATAAAATGATACCTACTAGCTCACGGTTCTTTGAGTAATACTCAATAATCGATCTGATTAAATGCACATTATCTTGGATTGTTCTACCCGGGACCGAGCAAGTTTGGTCAGGGTGAACTATTGTGGCTACCACTGCGCATAGTCTGTTACTAATCACTTTCGAGAGTATTTTGTAATCAATATTCATCAAGGATAGCGGATGGAAACCCTTCATCGATCCATCAACGGCACGTAAAAAGAATGAGTGCAAACGTCGATTTGCCCATGCAACATTGATCATTTTCACATAATATTCATCAATGGGGACTATTACTCTCCATACCTCCACTGTAATCCCATCATCTCCTGAATATCGTCTTACTGTTATTTCTTTGAGAGCATCATAGCATTCTACAACGGCGATTTCTCTTTCTAGTTTATCTATATTTTGAGGATTGAGTGTGGGTAAACCCGCTAAAAATCCATCTCAGACTGTATGGTCGACTGGTTTTTCGCCTGTACAAGTCAATGTAGAAATCAGTGGCTACAATCAGCATCTTCGACGTTAACTCTACTTTTCCTTTCGTAGGGGTGTAACAGAAAAGGAATACAAGTTTGGCATACATGTATCTATTTTTTGAAAAGTCTATGGAACTGTTCTAGTAGTATACAATAAGTGCCGCTCTGGCACGCAGAACTGAGTTCCACATGCACAACTTATCGTCATCACGGCTGTGAGTGTTGGCACGAGGCCTTACCTCTTTAATATGTGTTTAATATAAGCAACTTG